GACGCGCTTCTTGATGTCACAAGAGAGGTCAGTGATAATGATATTCTTTGTGCAAATGCTCGACTGACACAGACACAGCACCTGGCTTATCAGACAGCCGTGAAGGCTGGATGGAAGGGTAATTGGCGTGGATCAGTGATTAACATGTCGTTGGGGTCAAAATCGAGCCGGTTTCTCGTGGATGCTCTGAGGATCGTGAAGCGCGCCGGCATACCTATCGCGGCAGCGTCGGGCAATGACGGAGCTGCGGTCTCTCCTAGGGGTGATTGGCCATGCTCACAGCCCGAATCGACTTGCGTTGCCTCCTGCGGTAAATCTTACACCTGGTCTAAGTTCTCCAATTATGGTCCTGAAGTCAAGTTCATCGCCCCAGGCAACAGGATCCGGTCAAATTCCCATAAGGACGCAAATCGACGGGAGGAAATGTCAGGGACCAGCATGGCGGCGCCTGCGGTGGCAGGTGGCATGGCGATTGTTATTGGGCACGAAGGCATCAACTCAGACCCCGACAAGGTCGTAGAACGACTGAGAAAGAACGGCGTGCCGGATGTCATCAAGGGAGTTCCACGCTCAGTGCCGAATCTGTTGTTTGACACAGGCATCAGGAACCGCAAGCGGCCCAAAAATGAACCGTATGTTAAATGAGTAAAGTTGGCAGATAACTGCTTTGTTACTTGTGGTTGAAGGAAGATGGGTCATGACAGTCTATTCGCACGGAATAGGCTCAATGGTACTCTGTTGATATGTAGATACGACGACTTGTATAGGAGTTCTTGTTAGGAGTTCGAATACTGACCAAAAGATTTGTGTCCAGTCTTTGTTCTTTCGGCATTATGCACCGAATATAACAGGGAAGACTGGCACAAAACTGGTACAAACAACATGAGCAGCCAGGCAGCAGGTCTGCCCCTATCCTGGGCGGTCTGGTTTTCATGTAAGAGCATTGAAAGTCTGCTTGAAAAAGGCCCTTGTCGTGTTCGAGACCTGGTTCAAACCTTGGCTAGTCGGTCCCACTGTTGAAAAGAACAAGTTGAGAACAGCCGTGGGGGTGGTCTGATGGGGCCTTGGGGGGTTCATTCTGTCGCCGTGGCAGCGGGCCAGCCCGAGTGCGCCTCTGTTTTTTCACGTGGTCTGACGTCGGATTGCGCCTCGTCATGGACGCCATCATCTGTACACACCCCTCTATTGTTAACAACTCTCCACAACCGCTTTCCTAAGTCGCATTACCTACGTGCACACTCCTGACCGAAGACGCATCCTCGACCTCCGCTGCTCGCCTCATCATCCAAGCACGTCGCGACCACAATCATGAGTTCTGAAAAAGAAGGCGCAGCTGTGCCGCCCCAGGCAAAGGGGAGCTGGTCCTCGTTCCTCAAGGTATGCTGAAAGAAGTCAAGCTCGCAGTGGACTGCTGCAGCATCTGATCGTTATGCAGTCCATCGCGTCCTTCAATGGCGACCTCTCGACCATGACCGCCCCGGCCTTCATCCTCTCCACCACCTCCCTCACCGAATTCTCCGCCTACTGGGCTGAAATGCCCAACCTACTCGTCGCCCCCGCCGCCGAGAGCGATCCTAAAAAGCGAAGCATGCTCGTCCTGAAGTGGTTCCTGAGCACATTGAAGCAGCAGTACAGCAGCAGAAACGAGAAGCTCGGCAGCGAGAAGAAACCCCTCAACCCCTTCCTTGGCGAGCTCTTCATCGGCAACTGGGAGGATGAGGCTGGCACTACCCAGCTGATCTCCGAACAAGTCTCGCATCACCCTCCCGTCACAGCCTACTGTATCTGGAACAAGAAGCATGGCGTGCGCCTAGAAGGCTACAACGCTCAAAAGGCATCTTTTGGCCGCACCATCAACATCAAGCAGGTCGGTCATGCCATGCTGTACCTCGACAAGTACAACGAGTCCTACCTCTTCACTCTCCCCGCCCTCCACATCGAAGGTTTGATCAGCGGCTCGCCCTTCGTCGAGCTCGAGCGATCGAGCTACATCGTTTCTAGCAGCGGCTTCACTAGCAAGATCGACTACAGCGGCCGCGGCTGGCTAAGCGGGAAGAAGAACTCCTTCACCGCGAGCATGTACCCAACAGGCAAGGAAAAGGACGTGATTTACAACGTCGAAGGCCAATGGACCGATACATTCCATGTCAAAGATGCCCACAAGACCACTGTCGATACGTACGAGGCGAAGAAGCAACCTAAGACAGCACTGAAGGTTGCTCCTCTGGATCAGCAAGACCCGCTCGAGAGTCGACGCGCGTGGTCAAAGGTCGCCCAGGCTATCGAGAAGGGCGATATGAACACGACCAGTGCTGAGAAGAGCGTGATCGAGGAGAAGCAGCGCGCCATGCGTCGGCAGGAGAAGGAGGAGGGTACCGAGTGGCAGCGCCGCTTCTTCTCGCGTGTCAAGGAGAATGCAAACTTTGAAAAGCTGGTCAGTCATGTGCCAGGCGGCTCGGCGGATGCAGATCAGACGAATGGGATATGGCTATTTGACCCTGAGGCCGCGAAGAGTAAGCCCCCTTTTTCGTCTCAAATGTGACCCCGGGCAAGACTGACGTGCGCAGAGTACAAATACGATATATGATAGGACGCGATGGTGACGGAGAGAATGTGATCCATGAACGACCTGCCCTGCTTTGTAAAATTCTCCTGGGCTGGTCTAAGCGATCGCCCGTATACCACTACTGTCTGACGGGTCACCATCTTGTCGATATGCACCACGAGTCCAGCGTCAGTGCTGTACACGGAATTCTAAACACGGAAATCATGATGACAAGAATAGGCCTGGTGACGAAGGGGTCTCAGATATTCCGATTCACGCCTCTTGTAGCACTGATGAACAGCATCGGCAGGCTACTTTCCATATTATACCTTATTCCACGCACTATTCCTCCATGCAATGCATACTTCCGTGCTGTCTCCTCGATGCTTTCGCAAACGTACTAGCAGCAATCACTTAATGTTCCCCCATCCCTTCTCCCCCTTCCCCCCATCCACTATCACCGCCCCACCCTTCTTTCCATCCCCCTCTCTCGCCTTCCGACACGCCACCTCGAAAACTTCCACGAACCGCAACACATCCTTGAAAGTATTATACAGTGGCGCCGGCGCGACTCTAATAACGTCCGGCCGTCTCTCATCAACCACCACCCCTTCCTCCTCCAACACCTTCATGACCCCATCCAGCAGGCCAGGCGCAAGTCTCAAACTCAACTGCGCCCCCCTCTGGCCCGGATCCAGCGGCGTGATGATTTCAAACGCCCGTCCACCATCGTCATCGATCAGCCGCACCAGCAGATTCTGCAAATACTGCGTCAACTTGACACTTTTCTCCCGCAGCGCCTTCATAGAGGTCAGCTTGAACGTGTCCAGACTTGCCCTCATAGCCGTCAAATCCGCCACACTGGGGTTAGACAGCTGCCACCCGGCCGCGCCGGGGATAGCCTCGAAGCTATTCGTCATGGCGAACCGCGAGGTCTTGCTGCTGCCCCACCACCCTGCCAGCCGCGGGGTGTTGGGCGTCGCGTGCCGCTCGTGGACGAATAGCCCTCCGATCGACCCGGGCCCGCAGTTGAGGTACTTGTAGGAGCACCATACGGCGTAGTCGACGTTCCAGGAGTGCAGGGAGAGGGGCACGTTGCCGACCGCGTGGGCGAGGTCCCAGCCTACGACTATGCCGGCGGCGTGGGCGTGGGCGGTGATGCGGGGGATGTCGAAAAGCTGGCCGGTGTAGAATTGGATGGCTGGGAGGTGTAGGACGGCGGTGGAGGAGGCGTGCTCGTCTATTACGGAGAGGATATGGGAGGTGGTGAGGGTTGGCTGGGTGGGGCAGGTAGGGTCGATGGTGATGAGGGATGTGGCTGGGTCGTGGCCGTGTTGGCGGAGTTGGGACTCGATGGCGTAGTGGTCGCTGGGGAAGGCTTTGCCTTCGATGATGATCTTGTAGCGGTCTTTTGTGGGGCGGTAGAAGGAGGCGAGGGCGAGATGGATGTTGGCTGTCAGAGTTTGCATCACGGCGGTTTCGGACTTGGAGCCGCCGATGAGGTTGCCCATGTCTTCTGCGACATCATCGTCGACGTGCAGCCAAGGTACGAGTGGTGAGTCGTCAATCTCCTTGAAGTGGCCGTATACGCCTTTGGTTGCCCAGGTCTCATGGTAGGCAGCTGTATATTTGGTCACCAGTTTCGGTTGCAGGCCAAGCGAATTCCCGCACAGATAGGTGCTAGGTTCGATATCGGAGTGCGTGAGAGGTTGTCCCAAGGATTCGAGTGCGGTACGTTTGAGCTGGCCCCTGGTTGGTATGTGGAAGTGGCTCCGGAGCTCGCGGAGAGGATCTATCGAATCCTGCTGTTCCGCATAGTCATCGTTGAAGACGTCCATGATGCAAAATCTGTGACACGCCTTGTATAGTATAGCAAATAGCTACTGTTGTGTCTGTAGCGAGGCAGGATTTTTATATATGCATTAGATCAGGTGCTGTAGTCGAAAAGGTATGCTCCGCAGTCGATCTCATATTTTAGGGAAAGAGCGGGATTGGCAATTGGTCAGGCGACGTCAAGCACGGAGGGAAATGATTTTCCATTGCTCATCATGACAGGTAAAGGGCCCTGCATATACAAGGTTTTGGGATGGAAGAACACGGCCGGAAATTTCTAGCTTCGTCGTTCATCGCTCGATCAAGCTGTTCCCCGAGGACTGTGTATAGATTGTGCATGTAGTCAATTGCGTGCATGCTCCAGAGATGAGCTGCCCCGCGCCACCACCCCACTATGCTGCACTTGTGAGACACCGCGTCCTGCATGCCCTGAACGTGACGGACCTGAGCGGGCACTCTGCCGATGTTTAGAGGTGGAGCGCTAGTCCAATATCTAATAGACGTAATAGAATATACTTGTGCAATATTCTCGACACACCGGCGACAGCGAACAGCAATTATGCCACAGACTAGAATTTTGTGACATTATATACTCAATAAATCATTCCCCAGATATGAATCAGCCTTCTTAGCTCAGTTGGTAGAGCGCGACACTAGTAATCTTCTGATCAGCTTATGTCGAGGTCGCCAGTTCGACTCTGTCAGGAGGCAGTTCTTCTTTTGCTTCTAGCGTATCGTTTACCCTCCATAAGCTTATGTCACAGAACGACGACAACAACAGTACTTTTTATTCTGGCTATATGATTACATGGGTCGAAATCGAAGTCCTTTTTGTAAATTCCAGATTGTTATTGCTGTCGTCCAAGATTCGTTCATTCCGTTATTGGCAAGATACTCGTACTGACGGACACGGGAAAGCTCGGGATGGCAACATTGATTCCACCTGACTATCTTTAGCTGTTGATCGAAGTGTGATCTCAAAGAACTCGAGTGTTACCTACACTATACACAGATCCTCGTTGACTGAGCGAACAGCGGTCCTGTGTTTGTTACCGGGCGCGTTGTGTCGTTCATTTCATCAACCTTGCAACTCAACAGCATCTTTCTTTCCATCCACATCAGCGGACGACGGCTGAGTATGCGCCTCTGATACATTCGTCCCCTGGCCTTCCGCCGACTTCCCTCCACTACCTTGCTGCTGCTGCTTCTCACAATAACCTTTCAGATCTTTCGTCCACGTCACGAACATTGTCTCCAAATTCTTCCCATTCGTCATCTTCAGCATGGGTACCAAAAGCCCGTCAAAAGTTTCCCACGTCTTGTACTCACACACATTGGGATCCGCCGTGGTGATAATTTCGTTGATCCTCTGCGCATGCAATAGCCAAGTAGGGATTCCTTTGCCTTCCCAACCAACATGGTATCTGGTGCCCGGCGCATCTCCCGCGTTAGGTCGTGGTGGTACAGGCCCACCGCGCTCGGCCGATTTGGTCTTGAACGAAGCCGACATGTGCACTGTGAAAGTCATGTCTGTGCCGTTGACCATGAGCTTGGAGCCAGGATCGACGTCCGGCGGCTGCGAGGTGATGTTCACCAACGGCACGAAGGTCGACCAGTCAGGCCATGTCGATGTGTTCACTATCGCATCGTATATGACCTCGGCGCGGGCGTGAATCTGGTCTGCGCTGACGACGGACCATTTGCCCTTTGGGATGAGGGGCGTAGGGATTGGCGGTGCCATGTTGTAACCAGCTAGGTGGAATGCTTCGGAACAATTGCGCGGACATGGTACTTATAAAGGCCCGACCTACATGAACCACGCCACTATATTTTTACCTAAGCGAGGTTCGGCTGCGACACAAAATTCCAAACACGGTTCTGATCACGAGCGGGGCGCTAATTCGTCATGTCAACTTTTTATGCAGGCAACCAATTTACCTATAGTGAGCGCATCGCCTACTCCTGCCACCCTCCAACAGACGCAACTCCAACCGACCGCAATCCGCTCCACCAAAGCTTCACTCTCCACTCTTGAATCTCCAACCTCTAAACATATCCTTCTTCACATACACCTCTCCTTCACCACTCACTGAGTCTCTCACACCACAGCCATGGCAGACGCCACCTCTCCACCCCTAACTTCCCTCTCCCTCCCAACCAAAAAGCGCCCTCCACTCTCCCTCCCGACCTCCCAGCCCAAACGCCGCAAACCCTCCATCGCATCCGCCTCCTCCCACCCCCTCCGCCAAACCTCCTTCCCCCCCTCTGACCCTCCCGACGGCGATGCTTTCTCTCCCGGCTCCCTTATCGACGATGACTCCGACGCCGACCTCGCCTCCGCCGTGACCTCCACCGCCAACGGACCCACAGGCTCCATCGCCGACGGGCCTTCCTCCCGCGGTGGAAGAGGTCGGGGCAGGGGAAGAGGCAGAGGCTCTGGTAGAGGCCGCGGACGTCCTCGCGCCGACACGCTCTCCGCTGTATCTGGCGAGACGGGCCGGAGGGGAGGTAGTTCCGCCCCCGCCGCGGCAGCAGAGGACGAGGGCAGTGGGGGCGAGGACGAAGATGAGGACGTCGCGGACCTGTTGGACGGGGGCAAGATCGGGCGCGAGAGGCTGGAGGAGGAGAAGGAGCGGCGGGCGATGTTTCTCGGGGCGTTGGCGGGGCTGAGTGATGATGGGAGTGCGGCATTGGGGACGTTACTGGGGGAAGAGGAGGAGGAGAGGGGACGGAGGAAGAGGGTCGTTGAGGAGATGGCGAGGGTCAACGCGGGACGGTATGAGCTGTGGAATAGGATACATCTCAAGAAGGATGTGGTAAGGAGGTTGACGAATCAGACGCTGAGTCAGAGTGTGCCGGGGACGGTGGTCACGGCGATTTCGGCTTATACGAAGGTCTTTGCGGGAGAGATTGTGGATCGCGCGTTGAGGGTGCAGACGGAGTGGACTGCTGCGAGGCTGGAGGCGGAGAGGAAGGAGGAGGTGAATGGTGCGAGCGAGGGCGAGGGGCAGGATATCAAGGTGGATGCACAGCATGTTCGTGTTGACGAGCGGGATCTGGGGCCACTGCTGCCGGATCACCTGCGTGAGGCGCTGAGGAGATACAAGGCAGACCGCGAGGGCGGAGTGGTGGGCTTCACGGGTATGAGCTTGGAAGGGAGGGAGAATGCTGCAGTGCGCAATGGAGGGAGGAGGCTATTTCGCTGATTCCGGTCATGCGCTAGACTCTACTCTACACTCGAATGTTGGGAGACACAGGGGGTGCATTAATGCAAATGGGGAACTTTTAGCCATTTCATAGCGAGTGGTGGGTCAGAGACGGCACCAACGATGAGATATGACATGAATCAAATGCGCAAGATTGCGCTTATTATTACTCGTATATTCAGATCCATATTCTATGAGTAGCGCTCTACGCCACTATGTAGTAAAACAACAAGGAAAAAGATCATTCATCCTTGAACGACCGCGAATGCGCGGGTCCAGCGCCTAGGCCAGCCGTCAGCAGCCCTGCCAAGCCTCGTTTCTTGTGTTTCGCCGTGGTTGTAAGGTTCGTACGACCACTGGCCACGCTGAGCTCGCTCATGCGACGTGAATGACCACGTCTGAATTGACTAGGACTACCGGTGCTGGTACTGGTAACTGCAGGCAAGAATGGACCTGGCGAGGGGAGAGTCGTAGGGGCAACGCCCTGAGTACCGTCGGTTGACGGTCGAGTCCGTTCCTCTGTCGGAGCTTTGCTGAAAGCCATGGATCCTCGGCGGCCGGCCCGCAGAGTGGCGTCTTCGGTTTCCTTGCGGTGCAGATTTTCGGAAGGTAAGAGGATGGCGCGGTCAAGGGCGTAGGGTAAACCACGATGTCGGCCACGTATCATCATAGCGACGATTACGAGCTTCGATATGACAGTGAACTCAGCGCTGAAGGAGGCGTTAATATTTGGGTAGCCAAGTGAAAGCCCGACGGTGCCATAAGCAGACACAATTTCGAACAAGACAGAGAACAAGGTAAAAGCCTGTCCTAAAAGTCAGCAGTCGTTCCAAGATTGTCCCATCGTCAGCACTCACATATTCGTTAGTGTTTTGCAACCGCCCCCCTTCTGCGATTGCAACAATAAAAAGGCCCATGAAAATATACCACAAATCGAATGAAAGTTGTCTGCGCAAATGCATGCCAACATAACTCTTGTTGCCCTCCTCATCTTCCTCTTCGTCCCCGGCCCAAATACCGAGGGATTTTTCCTCATAGACGTTGGTTCTACGAACACTGATAGCGATTGGGAAGACTGAGATATACATCATGACGAGATAAGAGACTTGAATGGCCGGATGGAGATCTGCAAGGTTCACGCAAGCAAAGCCGGCGGTACGGGTTGAGACGGCCTGGAACCAACCAGCCATCACCCTTGTACCGGGAGCAAGAGAAGTGACAGTCGGATCGTCGAGGTCCAGAATTATGAAAAAGATGAGATCGAGACCGTTAAGCAGTACAAGCAGCCAGAACAGCCACCAAGTTGCCTTTGACGGGAACAATAAAGTGAAACATCGCCTAGGATGATCGAGCAAGAATCTCAATTCCTCCCAGAGAGCCGATCCACGGGGAACAACCAAGTTCAGAATCCAAATGGTGAAACGTAGGAAACAGGGAAAACCTGTATTGCCGATGACGATCAGAAAAGAGCCAAAGAGCATAGGTACCACAGCCGATTGAAATTCGACCATACTGGTAGGAGTAAGAGTGAAGCCCAGATCGTTGAACATGGATGCAGGGGTGAAGATACCCCACCAAACGCGATTCTGTGAGTAGTTATCCACGACAGAGCCGTAGGTTTTACTCAACCTGATCCAGGGCACTAGAACGATGGCACCAAGAAGATGCCAGCCTACAAAATAGCTGACCAGGATGATGGCTAAAGTCTTGAGAGATCTGTACTCGATGCCACCCAATTCTTCCCTCTGCTCCTCACTGAGGTCAATGAAAGCAGAGTTACGGCCGATAGTAGGCTGCCAACTGAGATAGGGCATAAGGTCACCCATATCCCTATCTTGGCTCTTTGAAAAACTCAGCGTCGGAGTACGGTCCCGAAATTTCTGTACAGATCTCGACCAAGATGCCGAGGTTCTGGTCCGTTTGAGAGCACTAAAAGGGCGCAACGGGTTGAAACGAGGTGAGGGAGTAAGGGGGGTCCGAGGACCATTAGTAGATTTGCCCGGTTTGTCTGGCACATCGAAGGCTATGCCACGTTTGGCCGGATTGTCGTCGCCATCGACTTTTTCATTGTTGGATGCTTGTGAGGCGCGTGTGTCAACTCTGGAGAGACCACGAATCCTTTGATCGTCCTCCTCATCGCTATCAATTTGATGAGGTACGTCACCTCGCTCGAAGTCACGAGGTCCCGGAATCCGCAAGGTGCCCTGATCTTGCTTTCTCTGACGCTCGAGAAATGCGATGTGATGATCTGCGCTCCTCACTTCAGGAATCCGATCCGTGTTGTCCGGGTCGGGGGATCTACTCTCCCGCCGTATCTCATCGGCAAAAGTTATATCTCTTTTGAAGGTAGGGCTTGGTGGCACGTCATGATCTGGCTGGTTCGAGTCCCCACTATTCACAACGGGGGCAGCGGCGGTGGCATCGCTACTGCTATCGGTGCCTTGTCCGTTGGAGTCGGATGCTTTGTCCTTTTCTGCAACGTCGGAAGGCGGAATGCTCATGCCG